ATATTAACTGAAATTTACGTTGAATTATCCATCATACAAGACACTTGAAGATTTATGTGCAAAAATGGATGGATATTTGTGTGATGGCGAGAGTGGTTCTGGGTGTCGGGATCCAGTGCCTTAATGGCTCCTGTCCTGTCTGGCAACTAACAGATTTCGTATGCAGAAATATGTCTTCATGGACCTCTTTTTTTTTTTGTAATATAATAATAGATAAAATTTAAAACCAGTCCTCTATGACTGTTTGATGTACTTAAGCTTTAATAATCTCATGAACTTTAGATTTACTTTGGAAATTGCTTGTAATTATTTTATTTTACTTTATAAACACCAAGAATTTTTTAATTATCTGCATAAATTGGAAATTCATACAAAATCTGCTAGTTGGTTGTACATTGTACATGCCATCTGTTGTCTTCTGTTGCTCAAAGTAGATGTGGTTCATGGCAGCACACAACTGGTGCATGTTTTCCAATGATAGCTGTATATATTGTGTTGTTTGCTTCTCAGTTAAGAGATAGATTAGATATATTTATTTGATATTTATCCGGTGTGAGTGTAACTGGTCTGAAGGTTTTACCAGTGAGGTCTTTTGGTTTAGATTTTTTGTTAAAATCAAAACTAAAAGACAATAAGAATGTTAAACTTAGGTAGTGTACACATGTACATGTCAGAGTAGTTGTGTGCAGTCTGAACTTGCAACTCGTCTCAGCTCTCCCGCCACCCCACATGAAACTGTTGTTGAAGTACCATCAAAATGATTGCTATTTAATGGAAAATATTAGTAGTAAAATTATGCCCTACTAGCAACTTGATAGAGTAAAGGTCAGAATAACTTTGTTTATATCATCTATTTTTGAACTTACATTATGGTAAAGACATCTATAATAATATGGTTTTACCTTACAGCATTCCATATAGCAACATAGCAAAAATTTTGCATGGTACTGTTGTATATTAATTAATCAGAGTTTATTTTTTCGTATAGTTGCAGAGGTAGAGGTTGTGGGACTAGTGTATACTTGGCTAATTTTTACAGAGCTTGAGCTGGTCATTAGCAGTTTCCAAAGATCTTTCTTGCAATATTATCTTAATCATGTATAGCTGAGTATGTTTGCACACTCTTACTCGTATATATATTTGTATATGTATATTAATGAATAAGATAGGTAGTCAATCAAGTTTTTGTCAATGGATAGTTTTCCTTTTTTTGTTATCTTCCTCATATCTTGTAAAATGATTAATACCAGTGGATATTTTTTTTTTTTTTAGCTCATATAGCTTTCTGAGTTAAATGAGTTTGGGTTCTGCTAAGTCACAAACTAAATGGGTGCTTTCTCTGTTTTGCTTCTGTAAGTATGCCAAACTGTTATCATGTTGCATATATTGATTGCTTTGTTAATATTGCATTCAGTACATTTCTTCTTGTATGTTTTCCTAACATTTATTAGGTTTAGCTATTCATTATAATTGATTTATCAGTTATTCTGATAAAGATATCAAATTATATAGTTTTTATATCTATATATTTTTTGTTTACACTTATTAAGGAGTGTACAAAGGATGTTTATCACTGAACTGAAACTTGTATTGCATATCGTTGCTTGAATAATTACATCAGGTCATTTGATATTTCTATTTGAGGCTGTCTTCACTTGAAAATAAAATTTTATTGGGTGATGTGGATTAATTCCCATGCTCTTACTCTAATATATATTATTATTATTATTATTATCATGTATGAAGATTCCCATCTATGAAAAATACAAGTAATCCAAAAAATAAAAGTGATGGCTAAATCTAAATCAAAAGAGCCTCACAGTATCAGAATGGGCTGCTGTAAGAGAGTTCAGTAATAATCTACAATTCTTTTTTGGAAGTAATATTTTTAGTGTCCTGTTCCATAATGTCATAAAAGGCTGTTTGTACTTTTATATACATTTTTATTTATGCATTTTTTAGTTTAGTCAGATATGTTGAATAGGTAATAATATATTGCAAAATATAAGTGGAGAAAATCAGGTAACGGTGCACAACTGTAGTGTAAAGATAGTACTTAGTAATAGTGATACCTTAAAGCATAAATGTTTATGTGCGGGTTTGAACACATAGTTGTAGCATCCTTAAGATTATAAAGGATACAGATAGACCAGCACTTGAATCATGAAATTTGTTAGAGTATTTTTCTTAGTATATGCTTAAAAGTGAAAAGAAATCTTAATTAGTATGAAAGATTTATTGATTTTGGGTTAGTGTAATACTCAAGACCACAATGGTGTATTTTAGCATAATGACCAAACCTAGGATAACTTCCTAATGTAGTATAGAAGATGCCGATGAAGGAAGTTTGTTTGTAAATAAAGAAGATTGTGGATAAATGATATGGAGCTCTTGTGACCTCAGTCTTTCTTGCCATCAGTGAAGGAGAAACATTGCCTGACTGGCCAGCCAAGCCCTGTGCAGAATATAAACATTGTTAATAAAACAATATTCTTGTAAATTTGGTGTTTTTATTTTCTTCTGCTTTTTTTTTGGACCAGTTCTTATTGCTACAACATATTTTTATTGGAAGAAATTATGAATATGAATTACATTGGTATTGTTACCAATCAAAGGAAAATTGTTCATGAGATATTGTTCAAAAGCATCAAAAATAATGTAAGAAGATGGCAAAAGATGCAGAACCTGCTGAAGTTGGCAATAAGTGAGGAATATATTTTCAGATTACTTATTCTGTAGTTTACAACAATTATTTTGTGATAGGTAGATTAGGATTTTATGTGTAGCATCAGTTTTAATTCCCTTATAATCTTATGAACTTTGGTGGCTACCACTGTTACGCAGAAAATGGAGTCAACACAAAGTGAGTACAACATGTACACAAAAAAAAAGACTCCAAGCAAGCAATGGTAAAATACTTTTAAAAGGCACTGAGGAAAAACATTGACAACTTGGAAAAGAAGAAATGGAATAGGAGCACTGAACTTTCCTTGAAGCTTAGATCCTTTTCTACTATACAAGCTGTTAAAGCCGAACCCAGAGCACTGATGATAAAGTTTGAAAAATAAGTGAATAACTACACTGATCAAATGGTATAAGAGTTCAGACTATAACAAGTATAATGAGTAAATACTCAGGATGATTAAGGGGTTCGTCTTATTTTTAGAAAAATTTTCTTGCCGATTTTGATGAAACACATCCTTTTATTTAGACCCTAGCCTAATCTTTTTTCGAAATTGCCCGAACAGTTTTTGAATTATCGTAAAAAAAAAACGAAAAATCACCGAAGAAAAAAAAAAAGAAAATTGACCATTTTCCAAACAAATAAAATCAGGAAAAAATTGGTCATTCTGACTGTTTTATCATACAGAATCATTCTTTATCTAGGAAATGTTGGTGACACTTTTTTCGATTTTGACTTTTTATTTTTTATTTTATTTTACGGAGTCGACTGGCAAGTATCCGAAGAAACGGTTTTCGTCACTTATATATTAACTTTACAAGAAACACAGGAAAAAATCGAAAATACCGCTAGCGACATTCTCTAGACACTATATATCTACAAAAAAAGTCATAATTTTGGACTGAATTTGCGTTAAAAAAAAAAAAAAAAAAAAAGCATACTTCCGAAATAACGGTCATTGAATTTTTTCTCTCTTTTCCTAATCCTTATGGTATGAAAAATTAAAGGGAGAAGCATAATCTTCCTAAACCATAACATTGCCAGCATGTAACGGTTTCTCAAAATCTTTTGTATAGTGTACCAAAGTGGCAGTAATTTTTCGTGTCTATAGGCCTACACTGACCATTTTAAAATCTTTATCTAAAATCCCTTAAAAATCGTACAGCCATTCTGATTTCATATCTGAATAGAACTATCCTTCAACTATAATACCCCCCAATCCCTTGCCCGTTGTTGTCGTGGGGGGGCTTAGGAGAGGAGACTGATACCCAATGCAGGGATCTCCCCTGCCTAGGGTCTCAGCCCTCGACTCAACTAATTTTGCATGGTCTTTTCCCCCTCCAGCTTTTGTTTCCATCCCTTCTCCATCCCCTTCTTCTATCTACTTCTTAAGGTGTGAGAGCCGTGCTGAGAGGAGGAAAGGCTGACCTTGTGCCAGTCCTGAACGGCCTGCGGGAACTATGGGCACGGTACTCCCGACTAATCTAGCCCTTACCTTTCACTTGCGATGGAGGTGGACCAGTTGATGCCTTTTATATAATCCTGGTTCCCCAGTAATGAAAATGTAATCCCTTTATTAGAGGTAATGAGGCTAGCCCCTTTATCAAATAGCCCCAACCCAAGCTCTCCTTTGACCACGGCTCCGAACACTGAAACTACTACCCACTCCTCAATGCCTACTAGTGCATTACCCACCCAAGCAGAGAATCAATCTCCAGAAGACATTCCTTCTCACTCAACTTCCTCAAATTCATCAACTCTACCCCCGCAACCTTCATCAAGCAACCAATCCTCCCTTATTACTACCTTACAGCCTTATTCTCCATCACTCCGTAATACTCCCTCTTCCACACGTCCCCGACCATCCACCACCACCAACCCTACAGATATCTTAAATACTCTGTTTAGCCCAGCTAAATGGGACCGATTTTTCGTAATCCCTTCTACAGCTTCTTACTCAGGCAACACTCTTCTCTTTCAACAATGCCTCCAAAAACAAGTAGGCAGAGTCCCTTTCTATACCAGACGCGATCGCTCCTGTCTTGTAACAGTCAGATCAGAAACTGAATCTATAGCACTATCAAATTTAACTGATCTTTCTGGCAACCCCATTCCTGCAGAACCTCATCCAACTCTTAATACTTGTACTGGAACTCTCTCTCCTCAGCAAACTGCCCAGTCGATATCAAAGATTGGTCAGACTGTGGAGAAGACTTATTAGGATGCCTCAAAGACCAAGATGTGAAATCAGTACATTGCTACACCATTCCTCCTAGAGGTCAACGAAAGAATCCGACCAACATTGCTAAAATTACTTTCCGTACACATGACCTTCCCGTATGTATCTACACTGGTGGACAATCCCTCCCTGTTCGACCATACCAACCCCCTCCCCGTCAATGTCAAAGCTGTTGGTGCTTTGGACATCCTGCAGACATTGCCGTTCCACAAACCGATGCCCCATATGTGCCCAACCTGGTCATAACCGATCAAACTGCTCAGCACAAACACGAACATGTGCTAACTGCGGCGGACTCCATAATGTATTTTATAGAGGCTGTCCCACTTACAAGTTTGAATCCGAGGTAGCAACTCTCAGATACAAAAATGGTCTCACTTTACGTGAAGCCAGACAGGAAGCACGCCGACAAGGTTTCTCTCATACTCCATACTCGTAACATCGTTCGCTCAGCCCCTCCCCCTCCACCCCAAGATGTCCCCATTTCCACTTCTACATTCTACATCCCTCAGGCCAATTCCTTTGCCACTCTAAACCCAGACACCCCAATCTCAACCACAGCTCCAATCTCAACTACAGGCCCAACACCAACCCCTTTCCCCCCCTACACTACCCACAGTAGACAGACTAAACGTTCTAACCCTTCTTCCCCTACATTGCAATCACCTCCACCTACATTTACCTTTATTCCTGAGACAGCAGTCTCCTCTTCCCCCCCTCATAAGAAAATCTTTATCCCACAAAACTCTCCAACCAACTCCACTGCAGAAACAATTACCTTCTCACAAAACTCTTCAACCAATTCCACTGCAGAAACAATGGATGACATCCAAAGTCATATGCTTAAGACACAAGATCCCATAACTCATGCTCCTTCCGCACTTGAAGTGGTTGCCGATATTTATACCCCTCCTACTCATATTCCCCCTACACCCCTTCCTCCTACTCCCTCTCAACACAACCTAACCCCCTCAACTCCATCCACCTCCGGTATCCATCCTCCTGATATCCATCCCCCTCTTACTCACAGCACCTCTACACCCCTTCCTCCTAATCCCTCCCAAGATAACACATCCCCTTCAACTCCAACTATCCATCCTTCCGATATCCACCCTCTTACCACTAATACTCCCCCCCACATCTACTCCCTCTCAACACAACCCACCCCCTTCAACCCCAACTATAGGCACATTCTCCCTCCCTCCATCCCCTCTATCTTTTGCACTCCCTCCCGGATACACACGAAAATCACTCATGTCACAACAATGCCCTTCCCCAAATTCCCTACCTCCTAATACCCCTCCTTCACACCCTATAGCTCCTTCTCCCCTAGATTCCCCAATACGTACCGTATGCGGTATCACTCATAAGCTATAGCTCTCCTACATTGGAATATTCGCGGTTTCCGTTCTCATAGACCAGACCTACGTCATATCCTTGCTTCTTATAATCCATCTAGTTTTCTGCCTCCAAGAGACTTTCCTCACACACCCTCCTATTCCAATTCCCAATTACCATTTTATCTCTTCTCCACACTCCCCCTATGTCTCGTCTATACTTATCCATCATAAAACACCTTATGTCATACCTCCCATACAAACTACTGTCCCGTGCACAGATATTCGCATCTTTCTTCGCCGCTGGATCACAGTGATTTCAGTCTACTTCTCCCCATCCCACCCCTTTGACTTTGCTGCCTTTGAAACTCTAATTTCCCAACTCCAACCACCTTTCCTCGTAGTTGGTGATTTCAACTGCCGCCACACTCTGTGGGGTGACTCTACCACCAACTCCCGAGGCCGATCTCTAGAACGCTTCCTCTTCACAAATATCCTAATTATTCTTAATTCAAATCGCCCCACACACTTTGATATGCGCACACAATCCTTTTCATGCCTTGACCTCTCTCTATGCTCTCCTATTCTACATTTAGATTTCCATTGGTCAGTTCTAGACCACTTCCCCTATAGTGACCACTTCCCAGTACTCCTTTTTCCTACTTCATATATATCACTTCCTAATCCTCCACGCTGGTGCTTTGATAGAGCTGACTGGCATACTTTCACTTCACTCTCTACTATACCTATCCCTCCATCCCCCTTACCGTCCATTTCAGATATGCTACAATGTTTTACAACCACGATCCTAAGAGCTGCCTATACAGCCATTCCTCGAACTTCAAGACCTTATACCTCTAAATGTGTTCCATGGTAGAATTCTGATTGCACCAAAGTGCTTCGCTTAAAACGAGTAGCCTGGAACGGCTATCGCTACAAACGAGGCACCCCTCACCAGCTATCAGCCCCTATTTCCTTTAAAAAGGCATCTGCCCATCTTCGCCGTACAATTAGAAACAGCAAAACAAATAGCTGGCAAAATTGTTTCATCAATTACATCTTCTACATCTATTTCAGCTGTTTGGCGACGGATCCATAAATTATCATGCAAACATCCCCCCCATCTGGCACCCGTCCTCCATATTCGAGATGCTCTCATATCTGAACCTGTCGAAGTAGCTAATGAACTGGGCAACTATTTCAGCCAGGTCAGTAGCGGCTCTCACCTTTCTCCACACTTT